GATGACAGCTTTCGAAGGACTTTTTTTTTTTTATGTATTTGTAAATCCATCTATGTTCTTCTTTTTTATTTTTTCAATAAATTTTCTATTTCTCGAGGAAAATGGAATTACATCCTCAAGGTTTATTTGAAAATTATTTCCATCGAACGAACATTACTTCGTTTATCTGATATTTATTATTTTTTAGCTTGTTGTCATAATGTGAAACAGATATCTCATAAAAAAAAAAAAAAAAAAAATAAGGAGCGAAGAAAGCTTTTATTGTGATTTGTCAGAAAGGTTTTATAGCAGAGCTTAACCTTAAATGTTGGAAGGGATTAGAAGCAGATCAGGAATTTTATGTAGTGGAAAAGGGATGAGTTGCGAATACAGCCCCTGAAAAAAATATTCGATTAAAAACCTATAGATTTTTTTACGTAAATTCGAAAAAACAATTTGAAAAAATATTTTTACAAAGAATATTCGTAAAGTATTACAAAATTTTAGAAATTAATTTAAGGTAAATTTTCAACGAATTCAATCGTATATTCACAGAAATAATGGAATAAAACAATGATAAATTTACTATTTCAATGAACGATCGAAGAAAATGGAAGAGAATGTAATTTTTCGAAACTCAATCGTTGAAAAAAACTTCATTTTAAACGCGGAAACTCGATTAATTGTCGCAACGAAGCAACCTTTAACTAAAAGAAAAATATAGGATAATATAATTAAGTAAGAAACTATTATCACGCTAAATTAATAAAAATACAAATATTTATCTTTTAAGTGATATTTTTACCTTATAATTGCAAAATCGAATTTATTGAAAGAAATTTTACCAATAAAAATAATATCTATCTTTTATGTCTATAAATTTTTTCATATTTTTATTAATTTATTTTCCATTTTTATTTGTTATTCTTCCTTGGTTCCAAAAAGTTTAATAAATAGCAGAACATGATTTAAATTCATAACCGATCAACAGATTGAAATAATAACGTAAAAAACAAAAATATATTAAATTATATTCCCTTAAATTATATTCCATTTTTTCCTTTAATTTCTTAGCTGTAATTTCTAGTCGAAAAAAATTTTAATTCTCTCTTTTTTTTTCCACGGAGAAAAATTTTCTAAAAAATATAAACGATGAGAAAAATTATTTTTCCATACTCTATATATAAAAAAAAAATCAGACAGAAAGTATCCTGCATATTACCTTTTTTTCAGCTAATCGACTTTTAATTTTCTTCCGTGAAAGACAAAATGAAAAAGAAGCGGACGAAACTTTTTATATCATCCTTATCGAAGAAAAAGAAACACTGGAGCAAAGAGCACGAGATGTTGTAACAATATCTGTCATTGTATTGGAAAATTGCTCTCAACTTCGGCAAACTTTCGATTTTCATCCGAATCATCTCTTTATTTCTCTCGGTCTTGTATCGAAGAGGCATTTCATCAAGATTTTGGGGGAAAAAGTAAGAAACTAGATAGCCGGTATCGAATTAACCAGCAATTTCTGATCCATCGATTGACATCTTTTCAACGAGTTACCAGATAACACAAACTATCTTATCTATGGTATCTTCTTCTTCGTTGTTACGAAGTTTCAAGGTTGGATTGGTTTACAACGCGTACCGACTCTTATTTTATCTCTTGGATCGGTTTACTCTCCGATCGATCAGTGAATCGAGCGTTATTCGAGATGGTTTCGAAGATACTAGAGGATTCGTTTCGATGGAAAATTGGAAAATAGAAGTGAAATTGAAGAACTGCTAATGGAAAATATTTTAATTGGTAATTTATAAGATATTCGATCGATTCGAAATGAGAGAAGATACCATGGTATTTTATTTGAGGAGAATTGAATGGAATATCGGCGATGATCGCATATTTATCTTGCCGAACAACTTGATATATTTTAAATCTTTCAATTAGAAGCAATAATAATAGATTGGTTTTATCCAACAACGTATTAAAAAATTTTTGAACGATCGTTACAAGCGTGAAAATGGGATTCGCCATTGTCTCGAAGAAAATCTGCAGACAGAAAAAGCTCTTTATCGATTTCAGTTGCGATTTGCACGTGCCTTTGGCCACTGCACGTTCCAGGATTTATTCGGAAAGCGAAATGAGATCCGTTTCCAAGGCATAGTCACTTCTTTGCTAGTCAAAGGAAAAATTAAATCTGCGGCCGATCTCTTCCCAACGTCTACGCTTTTCAATTCCACTTCAAAGGAACGTGGACTGGAGGGATCCGACCAGATAGGTCAACTTTTATTGTACAAAGACTGTTTAATCGTGTCCAACTGATTTGATCCGTTTCTCGGGGATTTGTAGGAAAATACATTCGTTTGTTCATCGAATATTCGTTTTCTAAAAAATTTAAATGGAATTGTTAATAAAATTTGAATGGAATTATAAAATTATTTATTTTTCATTTAAATATGAAAATTTTTAGATATTTTATTTTTAAGAGAAAGTGACATACACACAGTTGTATTCAATTAATAACCAACCAATGTATGGCCAATCATCAGAAAATCAATGATCCGTCAATAGTTGATAAGTGATCGATCGATAGATAATCAATCAGCCATCTGTCAATCGTCATTTACCAGTCAGTTAATAATCTGTCAATATTCAACCAATAGTCAACCAATAGTCAGTTAATATACACTTATTAATCAATCAGTAGTCAAACGATCAAACGATGAACAGTAAGCAATCAATAGTCAATGATTGATCAATGGTTTAAATCACTATATAAAGTTAGACTATTTATATTATTAAATAATAACTGTTTGATCATTGATAGTTGTTGTCCACTTCAAATAATCATAATCATTTAAGAAATAATTAATAGTGTGAACTAATGTAGATTTCCAATAATTTATACATATATATTCTACTAATAATTATTTCAATAATTCTCTAAACTCTTCTTTTGAAAGTTTCTTTTTCATTCGTATTTCGCAAAGATAATTTATTTTCGTTCTTTGTTTATAAATATACAAATATAAGAGGAATTAATTTAGATGGAAAAATATTTGGAAAATTATTAATATGCGCTTAGTGTGAAATTAAACCCAAGCACTTTTAGCAGGATGAAAGAGGATTTAACCTAATACCGTTTAACATCGAGGACATAATCTTTTGGTTAAATATAATTCAATTTAAAATGGAAATTTTCATTCAATTTACTAGTTAAATCGAAGATTTTGTTTTCAAATTTTGAAATTAAAACAAAGCTATTACGTATTCAATTTTCGTCGAACATTTTATATATAATAATTTTAAATGCTGCGTTATGAAATTAAAGGAGGAAGTAGACGATGATGCGATCGATGATGCGATCGACAAACGATGGCGATGAGAAAAAGAACGATGGGGTGAGCGAACAAAGCGTTTCAGTGACAATGGACCGTCTATGGTCAGACGCGCTTTGCATCTTCTATAATAGTTCTCTATTCTTCTCGAGAACTCCAGATACGTATGCATTATTTGGAAAATAGCCTAGCAAATGTTGCTCGGTTTAATGATACCTTAAAAAGACATTGGAACGTTTAGCAATTCTGAGGATATTTTATTTTTTTATCTTAATAGATTTTTCAACATATGAAATACTTTTTTCTATATTTTTCTCTCTTAATTTATATAATAATTAATTAATTATCTTAATTTATATTATAATTATTATCAATAATCGAGCGATATGGTATCATTTCGCGATCGCTGAATTATTTTTATCAAAATCTTGGCAAATTATATAATTATCTCAATGAGAAACAATACTTTTCCTCGAGATGAATCAAGATACGATAAACGTGTTTAAAACATATTTTACGTAAATTTAATTACACCCAAAAGCAAAAAACGCAATATAAAATATCCTTTTAATTTATTTTCGATACTTTTCAACGAATCAAAGACGTAAAACAGGGGACGTTTTGTTTCAGGAGTAAAGTAGCAGCCGCTCTTTTGAACAAGCATCTGCAAATCAATGGCATTTCCGCCGGTTTGGCCACACTTCCGACGGTGGATCAATCGCCGGATCCGCAACCAGAGGAGCCACAGATCACGAGCAGCAGCAAAATGAGAAGAGAACGAAAAGCTGCGAGAACGTTAGGAATTATTATGTCAGCGTTTCTAGCATGTTGGCTACCTTTTTTCCTATGGTAAATTTTCCAATTTTTATTTCTTTGAAATGTTTTTAATTTTTCACCCATTGTAAATTTTTTTTCGATTTTTCTTTAAAATACGTTCCACTGTGTGTTATATATCTATTGTGGTAAATACATAGATTTGATATGGATTTGATAAAATATAATGTTAAAAAAAAAATTATGAAATTATTTGAAAAATTGATAATATTAAATTTCATATGTAAAAAATATTATATCGTTGAATTAGATATCATTTGTTGAAGTATAGGGTACAATTAATAAAATCGAATCAAAATTGCACGTTCGAGCTTTTACTGAAATTTAATCATCATCCTTTCACCTTTTTGTATTTGTTGATTACTTTATGATATCAATTTTAAGAAGTTATAAATTCACGATTGTTCGTATTTTATTGAAAAAATATCTGTTTCGACGTATTTCTTTTGTTTCTCTGGTTAGTAAAATTAGAATTTTTTTTCAAAAAAGAATTTTAAATAAACTCCCTATTTATATTTTTTACATCTTTTAGATTTGTATATTTAAAGCTATGAAATATCATTGAAATATTCTAAAGTATCATTTAAATATAAAGTATTTTTAAAAATTTTATAAACTAATTATTTCTCCAATAATAAGAAAGATGCAAGTTAAAAATTGCAATTTTTTTTAAATACTTCTTAAATACTGAAAAAAATCGATTCTCTACTCGCGTTTTTCTTATTATTTTTGATCTAGTTAAGTTCTCGTTTTAACGAGATCTAAGGAACACAATCCAAGTTAAATCGACTTCGTGGTAATTAGGAAAACTCATTTGAATATATTAAAATGTTGGAAGGGAGCGTTTCACGTGGCCTAAAATCGGTTCGAAACTAGTTCCATCAAATTAATGCAATCGCGATTACAACCACTGATATTCCCCCGTTTACTTTTCTCCCTTCTTTCGAATTTCTTTCCATGGAAAAGAAAAAGAAAAAGGAAGAGAAATTTATAACGAGGAAAATCGAGTCGGTAATTCCAGCGTTAAAAAAAATATCAAAGATAAAATTGGATCAAATAGGTACGTATTGATTGATATACGATTATTAATTAAAATGCCGCAATTTATCGCGGTAATGATTATTGAATATTTTCGCAATAAATAGAAAAATGTTCTTTTCGCATCGTTTAGATTAATATTGGACATTTTATTTAATTGAAATCGTTCCAACAAATATACGAGAAGTTGTTTCACAATATGGAAATAAACGGCTCGTTAAATCGTTAAAAACGAGCATGTATCACCACCGCCGTCTTTCAACGAAATATTTTTTAAACGTTAATGAACTTTGATGATCTCATTCGTTTATAGAATTTTATTCATAAACCGCGAATACGATAGAATATGAAACGTTTAACGTGTAAAATTCAGTTTGAATTTATTTAATTTCACGATAATGCGATTCTCGTAAATGAATATTATTAAAGTAATATCAATCGTACAAAATTAATTTTTGCTTAATATAAATGAAATATTGGAAATATGCGACAAGAAGTTTTTCAGATGAAATGAAATTCTACGCGAGATAAATAATTTAATATTATTGCTGCTGCAATTAAATAAAAATGTATCAATGATACGTTATAATATCGAATTAATATAATTATTACAGTAACGAGTTTGGAAAATTTGTAACGAAATCTTCGAGAAAAATTAAATATGGATATAATTATTATATTTGGAAGAAAAAATTCAAAGATAATTTTTACAAAACGTGCATTTTATCAAAATGATACTCGCATTATCCGTTTTTTGATTACTTTTCGCTATTTATAACTTTTACGACAATAAAGTTCTTCAAATAGCTTTCACAAACCTGTATACGATTTCTTACTATTAAAAAAGTTTTCTAGAGATCAGAGCAAATAATGGTTGGACAATACTGTGTTCGGAGAATGGATTGAATAAGATCGAAACTAATTTCAACTAATGTCGAATTATTTTGTCCATACCATATATATGCTATATATTTAACATTTTTATTTAAAATTTTCAAAGATTATCAAAGAAAATATTTTAATCAATCAAAATTGATTTACCTCGATAAAAACTTGTACTAATACTAACTTTTCTTCACGTTTCCAGAATTTTCAAAATTTCTCCTAAATCTTATCTTCCATTTCCTACCTTTCCTTCTCAGCCGTATTATTACTCCTCTTTCGAATCAGAGATAATTGATATTCATCGCCAACGATTCACGACGATTAAATTTCCGCCAACCAATTCCTCGTGAAAAAAAAGAAAGCAATCATCAGAACTCCACACGATCGTCCACATCCTTTCCTTCTAAATATCTATTCTCGAAGACCACGTTCTTCTCCACCCATCCCTAAAATTTCCACTCGAACGCCCTAAAGGCCACTTTTAAAAATAGTCGAGGGTAAAAAGTAGGTTCTACTGGTTCACTGGAATTTCGATGGGCCAGCCCTCGATGTGCTCGAGTGCTTTCGATATTGCGGTGCATCCCAAAATTCCTAAGGGCTTAGTAACGTGACCGCCGAGCGGAGGGGTTGGATAGGGGATGCCAGGGCCCGATCGATAACGTCTCGAGGGTGAAAGAAGCCGATGTACAAGCTCCGCGATCTCGAGTCATTTGCACAGGATATACTTGTCCAATTTCTTCGTCACGTTGTAATTACATTTGGAAATTGTGCTTCGTCTCTTCTTCGCATAATTAACCGTGATTTATTACTCACATTGATGTGAGATTATCCTTGATTAAGAAATAAAATATAACATATAATAAAATTTTATAAAATATTTTATAAAGTCTCCAGATTGTAAAAAGAAAATTTTAATGAAATGTAATTATAATAGATTGTATCAGAAATCAATGGAAAAGATTGTTCAGTGGCGATTTTCCGATATAATTTCGAAACAATTTCTCCTTTCACGAAAATTTCGATTTTGTTAACGAGTTATTAACAAAAAATATGCAATTACATAGTACGAGTAGCGTTGGGTATGTGTTGTTGGCGAGTCGCCAACTTTGAACAAACAAGTCAAAATAATCAAAACTATAATAATTTATTTACTATTTATGAAATAAGAAAGAATTTAATACAACTTTTGTCCAACAATTATTGAGCACGCGTTCATTTCGACATATATTATTTTAATTTTGTTCGAGTCCGGTGATTCACCGATGGCACGTACCCAATGCTATCGTTATATATGCGACGACTCGATGCGCCTTGCGATGATTTCAGACCAATGTTTTTAATAATTAATAATCCATCGATGAAAAATGAAAAATTTTCCCAAGAAAGAAATTGCTTGAAATTGCGTGTCAGGAATCAGCAATTAATCTTTATCGATTGACTTCCGAAACATCTCATGACCAAATTTTCGTTGGATCAGTTGCAAGATTTCTTCCCAAGATCTATCAAGATATGGAAAAGAGAATGTTCTACTTGTGATCTTCTATTCACGATGTTGAACAGTTTCCAATATTATAAATATCCACTTCCTTTGACGTTTTACGTCTAGTATTCGTGAATGAAAAATTGGCTGGTTGGATGTCACAGAGATGCTTTCCGATATATCTCACATCTCTACGCGTATCTTCATTTTTGATGTTTCTCAATCTTAGGAATCGAAGTTTTTCGAGACGAGTTTCTTTTTATTCGCAACGAATGCGATATCAGAATAAAACGTACCAGATGAAAGAAGAAAAAAAAAAAAGTTTAACTCACTTTTCAAAACACAGGATAAATAATCTTATTTTTAATAGAATTCAATTCGACTCTCGTCAATAATACCGGAAAAATTGTAAAAATTATTTTTAAATGTATTTCTTAACTATATCGTTATTATTCGCCTCGCAAAGATTCAAATCTAAACTTCACAAACGATTACGGTTTAAAATAAATCGTATAAATCATCGTCAAAATTTTCTTACGATTTAAATTATTCGATATCGGCAATAATCACGCGTTTTCTCTCGGTCCAAGAAGCGTCCTGTCAACTGTCGTGCATACGTTACGAATAATTCCTGCATCACGCATACCGTCCACGTCTGGCTACAATTTAGCATCGTTGCATTGGCGGAAATGTGTCCCAGCGATTCTGACAAATGTATTCTGGCCTGTTATCACTGGGATAGAAGCGCATCGCGGCGCATACCAACTACCAGATCTGGCCATCCCCTTTGTTTATCGAATTTTCATTTGAAAACGCCATTGTTACGCGTGTTTCCGTTCCAGACTCTCGAAGAGAGAAAAAGAGGAAAAGATCACTTCTGAAACGAGACGTTGAATAGAAATGAATAACTCCATGTCTCGATGAAACGATTGTTTAAAATTTGACTCGTTGTTACACAGATTTTAATGGTTATTGGATACGATCTAGCGCTGCAGAGGATATGTTTTTATCGTGTCGTTTCACGTAGCTTGATACGCGTAACTGGAACAAATTGTAGTCGTTTTCTGATTGGAAAACTATTAAAGGGAAAATTATTGGAAGGAAAGGAGAATCGGTCCGAAAGGGATCGATATCTCTTTAATTATTTCTGGTTTTACATCGTGTTCTCGTTTCGAAAATGTATTTCCGGATTTTTATAAAGTTTTTGATAAAACTTATTTATTTTCTCATAATAAATATGTAACATTAACGAATGAAACGACTGGGTAAACAAGAAATATCGATAAAGTTAAAAAAGGAACTTTATTCGTTCCTCTAAGAAAATATATTCTTTGGTTTATAGCACGAGGTTTATAAAAAGGTGTTTGAATAGTAGAGAGTTTAGATAATCCGGATTATAACTAAAATATCCGTTTCATTTAGTTTTTTTCATTTTTAAAATTTTTCAATCTCCTAATCATCAAGTCAATCAAAATATTAACTTACGATTTTTAACTTTGTTAAAAATTAATCCTTAATCCTTTCAATAAAACTTTATTCGATCTATTTAAGAAAAAATTAATAAAATAATATAATACGTCATATTAAAAAGAAAAATCTGTTAAAATAATAA